TTTTTTTTTTTTTTAAGAAAAAAAAATTAGGCATGAAAAGCAAGGAAAAAAAAAAACACCCTTCCGGAGTCTCTGAAGCTGAAAACATAAAATAAGAAATAAAAAAATAAAAAATAAAAACCCACAAAAATATTGAATCAAACCTCCCTGCCATCATCCCTCATGCCCCCTTTCCTTCCCACCCTGTTCTTCAGACAAACTGTACATAGCAGACTCTTTCCTCTCCTTCTCTGAGTGATCTTAACGGCTTCTTGGTGTATAGAAGTTTTGTCCATTTGTAAACTCTGGGTTGCGTTCCTTCCTGCCTTCCTTTCCTTCCCCAAGTGATGGGCTTTTTCTTTTCTCTTTAGTTTACCTGGTTTCTTTTTTAAGTAATGTGGAAGAAAATGGTTTATTTTGTATTGTGGTATTGAATATTGTGTTCCTTTTTATGAGGCAACTTGATTGTAAACTTCATGCAACTATAGACTGGAGGAAAAAAAAAAATTGAGCCGTGCCAAAGTCTCCCTTCTGTTTCTTCGACACACCGACCCATAGCACACACACCACCACCAACAACAACGCTTGTGAATGTATTTTTCTGTTAGTTGGGTTTACATGTGATGTTTTAGTGCTTTTGCAAGTTCAATTTGTTAGTTCCTGTATGAAAGATTGTGGGGGGAAAATAAACGTTGTGCCGTTAGCTTTTTCCGTAATAACACCCTCCCTTCTGTAAATACCCGTTACCATATTTATCCATTTGTAATTAAATTATGGTATTAACTTGCTACAGAGGAAACAATATTTATAAAGAATGTTTCTTAACTATAAATATGTACAATTGTGGGCATAAACTGTTTCAGATTTTTTATTTGAAGGTTTTAAGTGGTTTGATCATTTCTTGTGATATGTTTTGAGAGTAATGCATACAGAAATATAATAAAATGTGTTGAAACTGCATGAACATACTGTTTTTTTTTTTTTTCTAATGAGAAGGAAGCAGCTTGAGGGTTGACATGGGTCTGGATCAGGGTACCAGGTGTTGGGAAGCACCATCCTGCATTCTGGAGAGGAAGGTGTATGTATGCAGAGGAAGGAGGCCAAACTGCCCCTTTGGCAGAAAGTCTCAAAATTATTTTCTACATCCTTTGTTTAGTAGCTGAGAGTGAATTAAATTTTTGGAAATCCCCTGTGAGGAATGGCGGCAGGAACCTTCAGAGTTTCTAATGGCTCCATTATCTGAGGGAATGCCTTTCTTTCTTTCAGCTATTTGGACTGGATTTAAGAGCACTAAACATTTCCTTATTCTTTGTTTTCCCCCTTCCCTGCCCCCTTCCTCTCCCTCCCTCTGAAAAGCTGAGGTACAGTTATTTTTAATTGCACGTTTAAAACTGAGCTGAGTACTTTGTTTTTGAACTTGGCCCAATGATTATAGTTTAAAAGGGCCTGTTTCTTCCAGAAGTTTTTTTTTTTCATGAAATTTTAAGCAGAGAGCTTGCTCAAGAAATCCTACTTATCTTAAGCAAAGCTGCTCTGCACCAATAATCAGGATGTTCAAGAGAAAGTGATGGACTACATTTTAATTTTCTTTTGAGAGAATAGAGAAGCAACAAACCGTTGGCTCCAAACGAAAGAACCTTTGCAAAGAATTGACAAATAAAGTGCAAAGGCTAAAATTGCCAGGTGGAAATGAGCTGAAGCACCTTACTGAAAGGTTTTGCAGCCTCATTTCGCCCCTCCCCCCACGGGAATCGATGAGTTTCCAAACACGCTGCTCTAAGGAAGAAAGGAAAAATAATTTTAATAACCAAAGGGATGAATGGGGGAAATTATTTTCAAGCCCCTGGACTATCAAGACATCTCCATCTTCCTCTCCCTGGGTGTCCTGCAGCTCGGAGAAGCCCCCAGCAGCCACGAAGCTATCTCCCCAGCAGTAAAAAGCCTCGGGGGCGGCCCGGACAGCGACACCTCCGTGGGATCGCCCAGCGCGGCGCTGCACTGCGCCAGCGGAGGCTGAGAGCGCTGGGGACTGCGGTGGCAACCGCTGCTTTCTCCTCCTCCGGCCTTTGGCTGAGCCGCGGGGCCAGGCAGCGCAGGCCCAAAGGGCCTTAGTGGAGAGGAGGACAATGCTGACCTCCCTGAGGCCATGCTACCTGTTAAATGCGGAGAAAAGGATTTCAGTTTGGGTTATGCGTGCGAGTAAGACTCAGGGTGACAAATGCCAGACTTTCCCTCCCCAGCGGCCCCGGGAACTGCCTAAGCGCCAATTCCTGAAGCAATCAACCCTCTATTAAAAACAAATTTATAACCCCTAATAATATTAAGCAAAATTATTAAAATAATTGGCATGTGTTACTGAACCTTGGGAGAGTTCATTGAGCACATTATAAGCTGGGAGGAAAATCGTTTAGGGTTTTCCAAAGCCCCTCACTCCCGGGGGGTGGGCGGGGGGGGGAGGAGAAGGATCAAATTAAATATTCATCATAATTTGGGCAAGAATGAAACTGCCTATGGCATGGCTTTAACTTTTTGATTTTGGGAAAGGAAGTTGTTGGTTTTGAGACACCTCCCAAATCTAAGAAGGATGAAATGGGGTGTGTGGGCAACTTTCACATCAGCTCAAGCCTTAGGGGTTTTCTCTCATTGGGGGGAAGAAGCAAGAGAAGAATGATCTCCCAGCATTGAGGTGCTTCCATCACTCTTCAGATCGGAATGTTGCAGAGTTACCGGAGGCCCTTCGAGGTTGGGGGCGCTGATCTTAGTTTTCAGCAGGAAAATAAAACGACAAGGGACAAGGCAAAGAGGAACCCGCCTGGAAGTGGTTTCCTAGTCCTAGAGGTACGGAGCTCGGAGCTCCTGGGAGCAGCTTTCCTGCAAAATGGCTCCCTGTTCCTCCCTCGGCTTTGTCCAAACGAGTCTCCAACCTCGGCATGTGGCCCCGTCTCCCTCTCTTGCCTTTCTCTTCGGCCTTGGAGTCTCAGGGACTGGGCGAAGGGAGAGGGAGATGGCAAAAGTGTTAAAAGTATTAAAGATGTCATCCTAGCTCCACTCAGGAGGCGTGCGGGGGGCTTGCGGCCCAAGAGCCAGGCAGCAATCTGTCGCCTAGGCCTGGGGTCCGGCAGGGGTGCGCGAGTTCTCCCGTCCTCACCCCCGCCCCCATGTCTAAGCCAAGGCGAACCTGCCTTTGCCGTGACTCCGGAGTCACGGAACTGAAGCCCATCCTCGCCTCCCTCAGGGACCCAGAGCTGCGCTGGGAGGTGGGACTGCGGCGGCTGGAGGACGCTTTCGGTCCGCCACCGCCGTCAACTTGAACTTCAGGGCGCCCAGGCTCGCTCCATTAGCGCTCGGCTCCATCCACCACCGAGTAACTCCCCTCGAAGCGAGAGTCGCTTTATCCGGAGGCAGCTGGAACCCCCTCGGGAGGCCCATCATTATTATTATTAATTATCGTGATCCTCACTGCATTATTAATGACCACAATGATAACTGGCATCGGTATCAGCTTCTCCCAGTTCAGTGATGTCCTCCCAAGTCCCTGGCGGGGAGGAGGTGACTACCACAGCGGAGGCCGCGTGGGTTCTGCTCTGGCGGTGGGCAAGGGAAAGCTGCTAGGGCTAAGCCCTGGCGGAGCGCAAATAAAGGAAACACGTACTAGGCCCTGGACACCCATCCAGCCCTGCCTCGGCCCTTTCCTCTCTGCCCGCACCTTCTTCGCCCTTCCACTACCCCATCCCCCAACCCCTTTGTCTCTTTTTCAGACGGATGTTTTCAGTCTGAAGTGGTTCTATCTTCCGCACAAAACCCTGAGATCAAGGGCAGATCACAGGCTGGACCGGAGGCTTGGATTTCCCTGTACCCTGCTATTTGTTCTCCCTCATCTCAGGGTTGGCTAGGATAGCCTGACCCCTCAAAATGAGGACTCGCTTGCCTAGGTCGGCAGGAGAGGGGGAGGTGTGTCCCGGTTGGTGAGCTCATTGGTAGCACAGGGGACTCATCCAGCACCCACTGGGAACTCAGGTCCTTTCCTTTCCTACATCACCTCCCACCCCCAAATCCAAGGGGCAGGCTAGGCCTACTTCCAGGGACTGAGAAATAAAGGCCTCAAAATAACACCCCATCAAGACTGGGTTGAAGTTTTGGATGTGTTATTTATTTATTATGCTTAAATAGACATGTGCCTCGGAAAGCAAACTTTGGAATCCGAAGTAGGGATTCAATAAATACTTGCGAATTGATGGATTATAGTCTGATATAAACTTGGATATAAACAAAAACTTGGAGCCCTCAGCCCACAGCTATCCCCAGCAGATCTCAATGAACAGTTTCTATTTTTAATTGGCAGCTCAGAACCTGGCCCAGAGAAATGTCATTTTTCCTTGCCCTCCCCACACCCACCCCAGCTCCCAGCTGATTGTTACTGGGCTTTTATTTTAGGGAAAAACAAAAACAAAAACAAAAAGTCTCTCTTTCCAAACTGGATCAAGAGGTAGAACATTAAACCCTTAGGCCAGTCTTGCTGGACTCCTCTGAATGAAAAGGCAGATGTAGTGGTTTGAACCACCGGGTGTTACAAATAAGACCTCGTGGAAACCATAACTAGGACAGCTCCAGGGTCCGAGTTCACGG